CACCTAAATATCCATCAATAAGAGAATGGATAAATCATCTGTAATATGGCCATATAATGAAATCCTACCCACCAGTAAAAAAAAATAATAACATTAATAAATCTCAAAATAATTATGCTGAATGAAAGAAGACAGTCCCAAAACAATTCATACTGTATGATCCTACTTGTGAAATTCAAAATAATCTATGGCGGCAAAGATCAGATCAATGGTTGCCTGAGGTAGAAGGTGTTGGGGAGAGAGGAGAATGGGCTGCAAAGGAACACAAGAAATCATCTCAGAATGAGATACGTTCTGCATCCTGACTGTGGTATGGTTTCATGGCTGTATACAATTGTCAAAATCATCAAATTTTAAGTGGATAAAGTTTATTATAGATAAATCATTATTCAATAAAGTTGATTTAAAAAAACAATAGCCAGAAGGGAAAATATACATTACATACAATGGTGTGAATGACAGTGGACCTCACATCAGAAACCAGTGGAGGCCAGAAGATGACAAAATGACATCTTTATAAGTAATGAAGGAAAAAACAGAACAAAAAACTTTTTCCAACCCAGAATTATTTATCAATTAAAAATATCCTTCAGAAATAAGGGTGAAAGAAAGACATTTCAGATAACAAAAACTGAACTTGATGCTGGCAGACCTTAACTAGAAGAAATATTAAAGGAAGTTTTCTAGACAAATGGGAGATGAACCCAGATGGAAATCTGGACCTTAAAATAGAAAAGCAGAGCAGTGGGGGTGTTAAATATGTAGGCAAATAGAAAACACTACTTTTTGTGCTCCTCTTGATTGAAGTTTAAACTAACAATTTAAATCTCATTATATTGTGGGATCTATAATGAATGTACGTATAAAATACATGACAAAATAGCACAAAGGCTGGGGGGGAGGCAAACAGCTCATATTTTACATGAAATGGTACAATATTAGCTCAAAGTCAACTGTGAAACGTTACAGGTGCATATTGTAATCCCTAAATTAACTGCTAAAAAAAAAACAGGTATAGGTAAAAATCCAATAAAGGAATTAAAGTGGATACTAAAAAATAGTCAGTTATCAAAAGAAATTAGGAAAAGAGGTACAGAGAAACAAACAAAAGGGAAAACAGCAAGATGGCATACTTAAACACAGCCATATCAATGATTACATTATATTGAAATGGACTAAATACTCCAATTAAAAACCAGAAATAAACTGGCTAAATAGCCAGACCCAACTATATGTTGTCTACAAGAACTGCATTGCAAATATAAGGACAGGGTGAAAACTAAAGGAAGAAAGCAGATATATCATGCAAACAATAAGCAAAAGAAAGATAGTGAGGCTGTATTATTATCAAAGTACACATCAAGTCAAAGGGTCTAAGTAGAGACATTTCATAATGGTAGAAGAACAAAGAAGATATACCAATTATAACTGTTTATGTACCTAATGATAGAACTTCAAAATGCATAAAGCAAAAATTGACAGAACTAAAGCAAACAATAAACAAATTCACAATAATATCTGAAGAGTTTAACAACCCACTCTAAGTAACTGGTAGAAAAACCAGAGTAAAAAAATCATTAAGAATCTAAAAGACTTGAACAATATTATCACACTAACTTGATCTGACCAACAATTATAGAATATTATCAACAAGTACAGAATAAACATTCACCAAGAAAGAATATGCTGAATCATAAATTCAATAAAATTTAAAAATTGACATTCTACAGAGTCGTCCCTGACTATAATGGAATTAAGTTAGAAATAAAATAAGGAAAATTAGAAATGAATAGCAAAGAAAATATGCTATAGCAAAATTGGTGGGATAAAGCCAAAGCAGTGCATAAAGAGAAATTTACAGCTTTAAATATTTATATTAAAAAAAAGGTTTAAAACCAATAGTATAAGTTTCGAACTTCAGAAAAAGATTAAACTCAAAGTATAATAGAGAAATAATAAAAATAAGAGGAAAAAAGTCACTGAAATAGGCAACAGAAAAATTACAAAGCAAACAATTAGGTTTTTGAAAAGATTAATAATATTGATAAATCTCTAGCAAGATGATCAAGAATAATGGAGATAAAACACAAATGACCAATTTTAGGAATGAAAACTGAGCCATTACTGTAGATTCTACAGACAAGAAGAAAATAAGGTGTGTAGATTTGTATTATGTCAACTTAAGCAAAGCTGTAATTTCATTTCCCAGGATTCACATTGCATAGCTCTGGTTCTGTGTGGACCACATGAGTCATTATGGGTGAAATCTGAAAGAAAGTTGGTTCAGGGCGTGAAGTGCATTTGCAGTTCAAGCATACTGTCACTTATCTTCTGACTCACCCTGCTAGTATGGAGCAGCTCCTGTCAGATTTCCTCCTTCAGCTTTTTTGACTCCTTAGCCAGGTATATATTTAATACTGTTACAATAGGACACCCCAATCATCAAAGTTGGAAGTCTCAGAAGCAATGAGAGCCCAATATGGGTTCCAGTCTATCCTTATGAGGTTCCAGTTCATCCACACAGGTTATAATTTGTCCTTGTTTCCACCACCTCATCTTCTCTTCCCGACTGCCCTCACTATTGACTTCAGGCTCCAGAACCAGACATGCAATCAACAGCCTCACATAAATCCTTTAGTCAGCTTGTATGTTTGTATTAGGTCAAATCCCAATTTGACAATTTAGAAGAAATGGACAAATTCTTTGAAAGACAAGCTACCAAAGCTTACTTAAGACAAAATAGAGGGGCACCTGGATGGTGCAGTTGGTTAAGTATCCAACTCTTGGTTTTGGCTCAGGTCCTGATCTCAGGGTTGTGAAATTGAGCCGCACATCAGGCTCTGCACTCAGCAGGGAGTCTGCTTGGAGTTTCTCTCTCCCTCTGCCCTTCCCACCCCCTGCTCTCTCTCTCTAAAATAAATAAATCTTTAAAAAAAAAAGAAAAAATAGATAACCTGACTAGATAGCCCTATACTTATTTTTAAATCAATGGAACAGAACAGAGAACTGAGAACTAGAACCCACACATACATAGCAAAATAATTTTCAACAAAGGTGCCAAAATAACTCAATGGAAAAAGAAAACTCCTTTTAACAAGCAGTGCTAAAACAACTCGATATATATATATAAAAAAAAAGTGAAACTCAATCTCTGACACTATATACACAAAATTACTTCAAGATGGATCACAGATTTAACTAAAGTTTCTAAAAGAAAAATAGGAGAAAACCTTTGCCCTTTGGGGTAAGCAAAGATCTCCTATGACACAAAAAGTGCTATCCATAAGACAAAAACTTGACAAGAGAACATCATCAAAATTAAAACTTCTTATCAATAGATACCATAAAGAAAACTGAAAGGCAAACCAAACTGGAGGAAAATATTCACGATGCATATCTGATGAAGAACTACATAGCATTAATAAAACAACAATAAGCTAATTAAAAACTGAGCAAAGGACTTGAAAAGACATTGCACAAAAGATATATACCAATGACCAAGAGGTACACAAAAAAGGCACTCCACATAATTAGTCATTAGAGAGATATAATTTAGTAGGATGACTAAGATTAAAATACTGACCATACCAAATGTTGGCAAGGATATGAAAATACTGGACTTTTCATTTCATTGATGGTGTAAGTGTAAAATAGTACAACCACTTAGGAAAACAGTTTGAGTATTATAAAGTTAAATATTTTGGGGGTTTTTTTTGTTGTTTTTTAAAGATTTTATTTATTTATTCATGAGAGACAGAGAGAGAGAGAGAGGCAGAGGGAGAAGCAGGCTCCCAAGCAGCAGGGAGCCCAATGCGGGACTCGATCCCAGGACCCTGGGATCACCACCTGAGCCGAAGGCAGATGCTTAACCATCTGAGCCACCCAGGCGCCCTATAAAGCTAAATATATACATATCTACCCTAGGACCCACCTATTCTATTCTTAGCTATATCACTCAAAAGAATCAAAAACATTCATCCATAAGATTTGTACCATATTTATAGCCTCATTCATAAGAGCCCCAAACTAGAAATAACTCCAATGTCCATCAAAAAAGGAATAAATTGTGGTATAATCATATGAAGAATAAAATACCAATACATGTAACCACATGGATGAATCTCAAAACATTACATTGAGTGACAGTAACAGACACACAAGAGTACACATGTTATGATTCCATTTATATGAAGTTTAATAATAGGTAAAATTAATCTATGGTGATAAAAATCAGGAAAGGTAATACCTATTGAGGGTTTGAATTAATTGATAGAGGGCACATAGAAACTTCATGGGGTGACGGAAATACCCTACATCTTGAGTAGGGTATTGATTAAACAGGAATATTCATTTGACAAAACTCACCAATTACACACTTAAGATTTATACATTTCATTCCATGTAAACTTTATCTCAGTATAAAAAGAAAAAAATTCACTTATGAAAATTTCAAGTCATCAATAGGATGAAGTTATATTTTTCAAAGCAGCATATTTTTAAGAAAATCCCAAGAGAACTTTATTTTTAATCACTTAAGATTTAATGACTTTAAATTTAAAAGTAAAACTTTAGATATCCTATCTAATTTATTAACATGAATACTGCTCTCAGGGTGCCTGGGTGGCTCAGTCGTTAAGCATCTGCCTTCAGCTGAGGTCATGATCCCAGGGTCATGGGATCGAGCCCCACATTGGGCTCCCTGCTCCTCAGGAAGCCTGCTTCTCTCTCCCCTACTTGTGTTCCCTCTCTTGCTGTGTCTCTCTCTGTCAAACAAATAAATAAAATCTTAAAAAAAAAAATACTGCTCTGAATATAAGAACTGCTCTGAAATGTAAGGAACTTCAACGGAGTACTACTGTGGCCTTTCTTTCCATCTATTACAAATTGGTTTTGTGATGTTATAAACTTTAAGCGGAATGCCAAAGGACTAAAGACTTAAAGAAATAGAAAAACGTAACAGGAAGAAAAAATATATATATCGTAAAAGGAAGGCATCATACCTGTTGGGAGAGGTATATATATCCTTTTTTCTAATCTCCTTCTCAAAGCTTCATCAATGTCCCATGGGAAATTAGTAGCAGCCAATACCATAACCATCTTGGAAGGATCATCATTCTCTAAAGCTCCTCCAACTCCTATACACAATTAGGGGAAAAGAAGGCATTTTCCTTAAAGTCCTTTATTCTCTCATTCAACTAACATTTCTAAGCATCAGCCAGAGGCTTTGTCATAAGCTCAATGACGAAAATAACACAGTCCTTCTGACCTCTGTATGGTGGCAGAACCAGACACACCAACAGATAACTATAAAACAAGGAGGCAATAGAATTCATATAATCTATTACAGGATTCTAATCCTGTAAGAAAAACCATTTTTTTTTCCTGTAAGAAAGTGAGTGTATAGTTGCTCTGAAAAGAAAAGGCATGGGAGATTATGCTGTTTTATTCTTTTAAATCATGAAGTCCCTCAAAAAATTTTTATTTTAGTTGTCAGTCTAATTTATTTTCTCAAGAAGGAAGAACAGAAGAAGGTTCACATTTGCTAATGTACTAGCAAGCAATCATAATATGGCAGGATATACTGCAATAATTTTATCCTTCAAACTTCTAAGTGACTTGGAAAAAATAAAAAATCTGAGAATGAACCTAATAATCATCACTACTGAAAATATCATTTCTTTTTATACCAAACCAAACATATATACCTTGAGCCTACTTTTTCAGAATTAAAGTTTTAGAATAAAAAGTTACAGGTTACACAATGGAAACTTTGGAAAATGTGCAGTAAAAAACAAACAAACAAACAAACAAAACAAAACTCACAAACTTTATTACTAAGAGTTTCTAGTTGTGGCCTGGCATAACAAAGTAGTGAATTTAAAGCAACCCAGTTCAATATGGTATTTTCTTAATAAATTATTACCAAACTCCTGTTTCAATCATTATCACAAAGAATCAAGCTATCCAACTAATAATCAACAGTAGTCACAAACACCCCTTGATGAAATTCAGCTGACTAAATTTATATTCAGTGATATTTTTAAAACATCTAATGTATTTCTCCTCTAGATCCCTCCCCCAAAATATACTTTAGCAGAAATTCAAATGATAAACTCAGGGAGGGCAGGGACTCATATACTACACTGTGTTATGCATCCTTACAGTGCCTGGCACTGCATATAACACACGCTGTAATATTCAGTAAGTATCCACCGTTGCTGTAGAACCATAGCTGTTTTGAAACACATTCTGGATATTTTTTTTTAACACATTTTACATTTGCCACACAACTACCAGAATAATAAACCTCTGAAGGCAGCTCTGGCCCACCACTCTCTTCCTTCATTGCCATTTCTTTGAATAACTTCTACCAAAGCTTCAAAGCCCACCTTGGCCATTCCGTTCCATGACTCCCTCAGTCTGGGTGGTACCGCTCCCGCTGTGTCTTCCCCACCCCCAGAGTTTAGTTCTACCACACAATTTAAAGTGTATTGTTAAGCTGCCCACTTCCCAACTACAGCAGTGTTCTACTTCTTGGTTTCACGATACGTTGTCTATACTCTTAAAAATTACCAAGCTCCAAAGAGCTTCTGTGTGTGTGGAATACATCTATCAATATTTACCATTAGAAATTAAAACTAAGAATTTGAAAAAATATTAATTCATTTTAAAGGAACAATAAATCTAGTATTTTGTTAATATAAATAACATTTTATGAAAAATAACCGTGATTTTCAAAACCAAAAAAAATCTAGTAAGAAGAGTGGCATGTTCCTACATTTTTGTAAATCTCTTTAATGTGTGACTCAACAGAGAACAGCTGGATTCTCTTATCGGCTGCTGCTTTCCATCTATGATGACATCCCAAAAGTCTTGCAGCCTCTGAAACCCTCCACTGTATTCTCGTGAGAGAATGAGAGCGAAAAAGGGCAAATAATGTCTTGATATTATCATGAAAATGGTTTAGCCTTTGCAGACCTTTTAAGAGGGCCTTAAAGATCCCTGGGGCCCCGGACCACATCTCTGGAAGCTCTGCAGTCCAGGTAAAGTCCTTACCGGCCATGACATTCCTTTTCTTTGTAACCTCAGAACCTGAAATGGCATGTGATTCATAACACGTATGCGGTAAATGCTGAGTGCATGAACAAACTGAACAAGTGGGTGGATGAACAAATAATTACAAATAAATTCAGACTGCCTTCCAGTCTATTCACTGAGAATTTCCACAATATGAATCTACCCAAAATTCAAAAAGGAAATATAACAGTTTGGGGACAGTAATTAAATATCAATTACCATCCATCTGAATGAGTAGTTCAGACTTGACTCTGCGACTTGCCTCATGTTCATCAGAGGTTCCTCTTCGACTACAGATAGAATCTATCTCATCGATGAAGATCGTGGTGGGCGCATAAAATCTAGCCTTTGTAAAAAACATTTTAAAGAAACCATTCAATGAGCTCATAAAACAATCTGAATTTTTTAATGCCATTTCCTCCTCCTAAAACAATGGTTAAAAAAAGAGCAGAAATTTCTCACTGCTTTATTGCCACCATCTGGCTATTGACAGAGATTAAATCATTTACATCAGAAAATGGAAATTTCTAAAAATAAAAGTTAGATGGTTGGTGAAGGTGGGTGACAGATACATGGGGATTCATAGTATTATTATTTCTACTTTTGTGTTTGAAAATTTCCATAATATAAATCTTTTTAAAGATAAATCATCCAAGACGAACCATGAGAGACGATGGACTCTGAAAAACAAACTGAGGGTTCTAGAGGGGAGGAGGGTGGGGGGGATGGGTTAGCCTGGTGATGGGTATTAAAGAGGGCACGTTCTGCGTGGAGCACTGGGTGTTATGCACAAACAATGCATCATGGAACACTACGTCAAAAACTAATGATGTAATGTATGGTGATTAACATAACAATTAAAAAATTTAAAAAAAAGATAAATCATCCATCTCCACCTTCCAATATATATTCTTAAATAGCTACTGCAAGTCCCTTATGAAAAAAGAACAAACTTTAATGACAGATTGATTTCTGATGTTTAAATATATACTAAAATATACTCTGCTCAACCAGCTCATTAGAAATCCAGAAATATCACACCACACACATTTCCAAAGTGTCTTCCACCCTCACTGGATAGGATGCCAAACGGCCTTCCCTCACCTCAGAGAGGAAGAAACACTGAAGACACATCAACTACTCCACAAAACCCACCACCCCATACCTTACTCATGTGTCAGGATGAACTGTTCAACTACAACTCCATTTGCCCTTTTAAAAACAGATCCCTAGGTGAACGGATGTAAAAGGGGTATCATCTGCCTACACAAACAGTACTTTGAAATCTGAATATATCATCACTCACCATTTCAAACAACAGACGGACTAACTTCTCAGATTCACCTCTATATTTAGATGTCAGTGTAGAAGAGGAAACGTTGAAGAATGTTGTGCCACATTCGGTGGCAACAGCTTTAGCTAGCATAGTCTTACCAGTGCCTGGGGGTCCAACCATCAGTACACCCTGAAATTTCAAAAGCTGTATTAAATGTTTTATCAGATTAAAATGCATTCCTATAAAATATCATCAGCTATTGATGTACATAAAAATTTTCCCATCAAAAGATAAACTCAACTGTCACAGTAAAATCACAGTGTATTTGACATAAGTATCATTTCATAGATTTAAAAAAAATGATTTCACAAAATGTCTCAAATCAGAGGTACTTAGAGATGGGCTAACAAAAGGCCCAGACAATAAGAACTCTTCTAATACGTTGAGAAAGAACCTACCCAATTTTCTTAAACCTGGAAGAAGATAAATATGTATAGTTTTGAGCATGGCTTAAGAGTGACTGCTCTGCTTAAACATAATGAAAGTAAGCCATTTTCTACCACATCTAGTAGAACTATATACCCCTTACCCTCCTAAGGGACAAAACCTGTCTTCCACAACACATAATACACAGTTTTTAATCAAAAGTAGAAATCCACTTATTAGTTAATAAGATACCTAAAAATCCAGTGGCAATTCAAGCGTAATCAATTTAGCTAGCATTTTATCAGCTTAATGTGCTACACAATTAATAGTTTTAAGTGTTACTGATCAAAGAGCCACTAAATATAGACTAAAAACTAAATTTTAGTTACTTCTCACCTTTGAAAACAAATAAAAAACTCTTCTGTAAAAATAAGTCAATAAGGAGTAAAAGTTATTCAAGAACACCAATCCTCTAGTGTTGAAGACTACTGGATATTCAAATACTCAGTATTTTCTTCTTCCAGTGGGAGTTCAAATACAAAGTTAATACTACATTTTTTTTTTGTATATTAGTTGGTGATCTTTAAAAGAATTCTGTCCCATTTATTTAGTTTAATAAGCTTCTGGGGATTTAAACTTTGAAAACTATACACACGTAAAGTTTCACAAATTCAGAAACTGTCTAAACCCTTTTCTAGTGTGAAAATTAATGAAAGGAAAACTCCTTTAAAATAGAGCTGCGAGGCCAGAAGGGGGAGCTCTCATGCCCTACAACTCTTAGTCAATTGCAGACCCAATTGGAAGAGACCGGCCTTGAGAGTCTGTTCTACATTAGCTGCTTCACCACCCCAGCAGGAGGAAGAAAGGTTTTTCTCCTTCCCTGGCAACAATGAGACAGTGTCAAAACCAATGAGACAGTGTCAAAACCCAGCCAATGAAAAACCACTATACTTTCACCTCACACTTGACTCCAATAGACTTTTCTTTATTACAGCCCTCCCAATTTCCCCTTTTCTCTATTAAGAAGTGTTCTTCTCCTTTGTTCTTGAGACTTGCCTATGGTTCTGCCATAGCTTGCGTGTCCCAAATTGCAATTCTCTGCTATTCCCAAATAAACCCATTTTTTGCCGATAAAATAACTGACAGCTTTATTTTTAAGGTTAACACTGGCTATAGAATTCTGACACCCAAAAAGAGGATTGGAAACACTACTTTTATAAAAAATCTTTTTGCTTTCCAAGGAGCTTATAACTGAATGAGATGGATATTTTGAAAACTGTAAAAACAACTAATGGTATAAGCCCAGCTATAGCAAAATGCATTCTTTCTCTAATGTCCCCTTTGAACGCCCACTCAGTTCCTGCAATGTCTTCCATGTGGCCACCTCTAATATGAGTCAATTTCCAACATCAGCATCTGTACATAAATAAAATCACACAGTATTTATAAATTTCAGCTCCTCGTGACATTACTCTTTCAGTTATCTCCTTTATTTCCTCTCTCCTTCTGTATTGGCTCCTTCCCTCAGCATATAAACATACTTAAATCTGTCCTGTTTAAAAAAAAATCCTTCACTTGACCCTACAAATCCACTTCCTCCCTTCTCAGCCAACCTTCTTAAAGAAATGGTTCATTCTCACTATTTTTTCTTTATGAGCTACAATCTCACTTCTGCCTCCACTAATTCACTAAAATGACCTAATTTACTAATCCAATGGTCACTTTTCAACTTATATCTTCTTTCCTTCTCCCTGACCTCTGATGGCACTGATACCTGATGTTCATTCCCTTCTTCCTGAAATGCTTTTGCCCTAGGTTCTAGGACACTGTTCTCCCCTGACGCTCCTCCTACTCATGACTCTCTTCAGTGCCTTCCAGGTTCCCTCCTCCCCTGCCCTCTACATTCTCAAAGCAATTCCAAGCTTCTTGCTCTTTTTCCTTTATAAACCTTCTTGAACAATCTCATCCACACCCATATTATTACAATTTTAATTTAAATTCAAACTCTATCCTAAGCTCCAGACCTCTATTTCCAATTACTTGCTGAGTATTTACCTAAACATATTTTGTTTCTATTTAAACCTGCTCATCTTCTCAATTTCCAGTATCAGTTTACAGTGTGCACCCTGTATAATAAAGAATTTGGCTGGTCTTTTTCCCTAGTTCCTGGGAAGTAGACTATAAATCCTTGGAATTTCCAAAGTGACAGGAGTGTTTTTGTTGTTCATTTGAACCGTGAAATTTTATGCTGAGGTGACTCATGGTGGGCCCCTATATAGTTTATGCTAATGAGATGATTTAAGATGGTGGCTGGCCTTGCCAGAAAAACCCACCATGGGATTAGAGGGCTGGACCTTGAGTCATATGATATCAACTAGACCTAGAGAAAGAAAGGAGACTGGAGACTGCGACACATGGGCAGTGATTCAATCAATCATGACTATGTAATGAAACCCCAATAAAAACCCTGGACACTGAAGCTTGAGTGAGCTTCCCTGTTGGCAATACTCTATGTATTGCCACACATCCATGCTCTAGGAGGGCAAAGCATCCTGATTCTATGGGCAGAACACAAGAGAAGCTTCACTTTCAGCATCCTCACAGATCTTGCCCTGTGCATTTCTTCCTTTGGCTAGCTCTGATTTGCCTCCTTTTGCTACGATAAAACTGTAATTTTAAGTACAATGCTTTCTTAAGTTCTGTGAGTCATTCTAGAAAATTACCAAACCTAAGGGGGTAGTAAGAACCCCCAAATTTATAACCAGATGACCAGAAGTGAGGGTGACCTAGGGATGCCCAAGTTTGCATTTGGCATCTGAAATGAGGACAGTCCCATGGAAAAGTGCCTTCAACCTGTAAGGTTTGGTCCAATTTGGGGTTGCTGGTGTCAGAAGTAATTGCACACTCCTTCAAGCCTGGAATTTGGGAGTCATACAACTTGCCCCTCACCCTATAAACACTCAGTCATAATGTTATCATTTATGTTTTAAACATCTCTCACAAATCCACCCATTTCTCACTAGTCAAATAACAAATGTCTCTTTTCATTGTTCAGCTCAACTATTACAACAGCCTCCTTCATCAGATTCCTCACCTATATCCACCTATGCCCATCTCCAGTGCATCCTTCACACTGCTGACCAAGGTGATCTTTCTACATGTGCAAATCACCTTCCTGGTAAAGACTTACAGAGCTCATCATGATAGAGGTAGGTTATACCTACCAAGCTCACTGTCTTAAAACTCCTTTAAATACCTATTTTAAGACTTTTTTTCTCTCTCTTTTAAATATTGTCTTAAAAGTTATAATAAAGAGGGGATGTATGGTAATATGTTACCGAAATTAGGTAAATCTATACCAGTCTAAAGTTTTTAAGTTGTAGAAGACAATCAAAATGCCATGAATATTCCAAGCTATTTGTGTAAATATAAAATCTCTCCTCCTCTTTACTTTTAGGCGTGTCAAAAGAGGAAGAGATATTGAGAAGAGAAACAGACCTTCCTAGCTAATTCAGAAGGGCAAAGTAAAATCATGGTTTTATTTCACTCTACCGATCAGATTAAAGGAAGCCTTTGCCTATGACTAAGTCCAAAAAAAAGTTCCAGGCAGCCATTGTTAGAAGGGCTTTTTAATATGCTAAAATAAAAACAATGGATTTAGGAACTAGTCCTAAGCAGGCTTTTTACTCTAAAGTGGAAGGCATGTCTGAGAATAATATCAAGCCTAAATGAAGTGATCAAAGCAATTAATTAGTGAGACATATGCCAACTTTTGGAAAGGTATTTATTTGATCAAATACTTATTCTATAAGACTATCTACTATTTAATTTCTTTCTTAACTTATTTACAGAAACAGACATGTAGAAAATTCTTAAAGCTAATCCCTAACCTGGCAAACCTGAGGGGAGTGACTTAACTAAAGACTGTAGTTTCAACACTCTGTTCCTCTGAGAGACAACACATCTCAACTACAAATTCAAATCCAGGTATTTAGGATGTACAAAAACCTCCTCCAATCTTTACTAACTTGGTTAACAAACACATAAAAAAACCACAATGCTGTCATTCATGATCACGTAAGCATCATTTTTATACCTATTTTATTTTAATAAATGCTCACCTTCCATGGCCTTCTAATCCCTTTGAAAAAGTCAGGCATCCACATTGGAAGGACAACAGCTTCCCTTAGCAACTTCTTAGCTTCTTCCAGATCTGCTATGTCATCCCTTTGCAAGAGCAGCAAAGTTTCATGTTTATTCACGGATACCAGATATGGTCAATACTAATTTTTTAAATTTTTTATTATTTATGAAATTATATTAAGAACACTATTTTAATTAATACTGCATAAAATGATCAGTGAAAACATATTGCAGTTATTAATTAGGATATGTTATTCACTTAACAACCTTTGTCATTTATGTCAACATCAAGTTAACATGTAAAATGTCTTGGTTAGATTTTTGAAAGAAGAACTGTCCTGTCAATTTTACACATGCGTTTATTATGATGAAATCATAGTCATAGATAATAAGAAAAGATTCACACAAGGCCAACCAATAACTTGTTTTCTCTGCTGCTTTAATTCAAGAACTTAAAAGACTTACCAATGAATGCTAGGATTCCTGGATACAATGTCTCTCTCAAGCGCTTCCACTAGATCCTTATCATACCCGGCACCATCAAATTTAGGAATTTCACCATCACTTGTCCCATCTTGCATATTCTTCCTTCCCTGTAGACAGGTATAAAAAAGTACTGGTCAATAACAAGATAACTTTAACATCACTGAGCTTTCAAAATATTATAATGTAATCATTTTAAGTAATTTTTCATTATTTTAAGATAGAGTTTTCTGATTACCCAAATGCCATCCTCCCCTGTTTATTTCATCAGAAACAGATGAATTGGCCCACTTTATTACACACTTCTTCATATTTACATCCTTGGGGGTACAGTTTCAAGTAAGACAAAAATGATCCTTGCTAGATACTGCTGAATTTGTGGATGCAGGGAATTCCCACCACCACCAAAGAATATACAGAATATTAATGCAGAGGAAGAAACAACATTAATTTACTGAGAACCTACTACATGACAATAAATCTCACATACATTATCTCATTTAATACTCACAATAAGGTAGGTATTGTTTTACAAATAAGGAACCGGGACTCAGGTGAAGTACCCTAATCAAGTTCATAATTATTAAATGTCAGAGTGGAGATTTTTATGCAGCTCTTCCGGACTCCTCAAACCTATGCCCTTTGCACAACATCAGACCACCTCATGCCTAACTAAGTCAGCTTAAAGCTGAAGAGCTTTACAAACTATGAATCCTCCAAAGCCGAGAAAGAGGCTGCAGATGAGGAAAGCCTTGGGACTCTGAACTGCACCTTACAAAGCCTTTTTCCTGTTACTCTAAGCACCTCCCAGGATTCAGGGTTTCTTCCCAGTAAAGTCCTCAGACCACATCACAAAGTCACTGTAATGATAATGGTAAAAGGACCTTTTTAAATAGTATTATTAAGACCACTAAAGCAGTATACTTTACCCCAAATTCTTTATTTAACAATATGGGGACTTAAAAAGAGAATTACATGCTCTGGTTTCTATGGGGTTCTGCTAAGATGTACTCAGCTTTGAAGAGCTTTAAATGAAATGCGCTGAGTTGCTAGAGATAGTTCAACCACTGGAACTACTTCAGGAGACAGAGCCAAATACCTCCCTAGAGCTTCAGCCCCACAGTTACTGTCTAATACAAAAATGAAAGGGAAAGTGGTCAAAAAAATGCATGAATTTCCTAAGCTTAAATCTGAAGACAGAACAGAATGAACCTCTCCTACCACATTTCATCTGAGATTAACCATAGGCTTGACCATAAGTGCTGACAGGGGACTAAATCGCTCCCCTTGGGCAAATGCTTGAGTTCATTAAGCCACTAGGTAAATGACCAAACAGCAGTCTTGGTGACTTGACCCAAAAAATGAATAATTTACTGTTTCTGGGTAGCACAGTGACAATATTAAGCTAAATTTTCAGAAAGATCCTTGTATTTCAGACGATAGATACCAATAGTGACACTATCAAAAAGAGTACATTTCTGGCATACTTAACACAACAAACATAATATCTATAAATTTAAAATAAGCTCAGCCTAGAATCACACTTTATAATACAGGGAGGACAAGGCTACAAAGTCACATTTAAACAAATCACTGGAAATTCTCTGTAATCGTTTTAAAAACTCTTCTAGAAATAAATCAACTAAAGAATGCAACAGAAACCAATATATCTGGGACTTAATACGCCATGATATGGCACTGTAATTTAGACTTACCAAAAAATTATTATTAAAAAATATAAGTAGACATCCATTTTAATATGAATGCCCAAGTGGTAGGGAAGACATGATAAACACTGCCAAGGGAAAGAAAAAGCTGTACACTTATCTCAAAGTAGTAAGAATCAGAGGATTTAAGAATAACCATGTGAGTATCTGTCTAATACATTTCATCATGCATTAGGTTTTATCAGTGAATGAAAATACACTATCTGCCTTCACTGAGCATCTAGTCTAGTAGGGGAAACAAGTAACAAGTGAACAAAACAAAAACACACATAATCAAACTGTGAAATGCTCTGGAAAAAACTAAGTGGTCTGTGTGGCTAAGAGGTACTGAACAAATAAAACAGATTGGAGAGACAGGCAGAGGCCAGCTCACCTAGGCCCCTATAGGCTACAGGGAGGAGTTTGGATTTTACTCCAAATGCATCAGGAAATTTTTGAAATGTGTTAAATAGGGGAATGACAGGATCTGATTTATATTTTTAAATGACCCTTCTGCCTACTGTGTGGAAAACGGATGGGGTAGAGGGAGAAGTAGAAGCAGAGAAAGAAAAGCCTGTGTTATAGTACTCAAGGTCAAGCCTTTCAATTCACAGAAGAGAAAATGTGGGTGTAAGCCAGTAAAATTCTTGCCCTAGAATCCAAAATTTATCAAAGGTAGAGATGAGATTTGGATACAACTTAAGTACTCCAAAAAAGATTCTAGGAACTCTTCCAAGTCAAAATGGTGAGGTTATTAAAAAACAAATTTAGATAAACTAAAAATAAATAATTAATTTGGTGACATTGGGAAATCAACAAAATGGGTGACCATTATCCTTCATAACAAATACTCCCATAAACTGGAATAGGGATATCAAATATAAGTAATTGTGGTTTCAGTTAATGAGCTAGATTAACTGTAACACTTAAAAGAGACTTTATTTCAAGCAATAAAGATAACCTCACCCAAGATACCACCTGAACAGTTTTTAATAATAATAATAATAATAAATAATAGCTGCAATAACACTGAAATGATCTTAGAAATCTTTGCTTAGATTTTCACATTAATTGACAAAGGTCAACATTAGCAAGAATTTGATATTTAGCATGAAATCTGACAGACCTTTTTCCTCATTAAAGCAAGTATTTTAGCATCTTTTTACTAACATCTAAATTACCCTTATCAAGGAAAGGTTTGGTAATGATCTTTCATTAGTATTGGCCCAATATTATATAAAGTCAATTAATGACACACATTGGCCTAAAGCACAAATGATGGTTTTTACATTTTATTGCATGTCTTCTCACATTGGCAGATTAAGTGAAAGATAGTTACTAGCTCTGGGTCTTGCATTTCAAGTGACAAGTGAATTGCACCCAGAGAAGAATTATCCAGGGCAATGAAAGATTCAAAAACCACATCATCTAGAGGAGGATCAGGGACACTAGAGACATTTAAGCTAAAGAAGAAAACACTAATGGAGCCACATGACCAACTGACCTATTTATCTGTATTTCCTCTATATTATTCCAAAAGAACCAGGACCAATAGAAAGTAAGAAAAGATATAAATTTCAGATCAGCAAAACAATTTTCTAACAATGAGTTCTATCTACCAAAGGGATCTTTGCTCTTATTAGGCTGTGAGCTACCCAACATCAGAATTACTAATTAGTAATAAAAAAAACCACTGGCCTACAGTCACAGGGATGTCCAAGCTCATCTCAACTCTGAGCCAAGCAACATCATGTTGATAGCTTGAAATGGGTCATAGAAGTATTTATATCACAGAAATCAGCTGATGCTACAAATCAGGGCTTGATTTATTGCTTTGGTAACGGTCTAGACTTAAGAAAATAATGGGGAAGATGTTAACAATGCTGAGGATACTTAAAAGTACGCCATTTCTGTAGTTGTTACATTGTAAATAGTACAAAAATTAAGGAAATATTTTTCCAGTATTTGAAAACTATTAACTGCTTCATGAAAGTTGCTCAAATAACTGATGAATGAGTGAACTACCAACATGCATTTCTATTGTTTTACTTTCATCTGACTCATTAATGAAAAAAAAAATACCAACCAACATTCGTGTCAGAACCACATCTTTATTCATTTGTTAACTGCAACCATAGGTTGGCTATAGATATAAGAGCAGAGCAAAAGTCAGCAAAGGCATTCTGTGAGAGTCCATTCGCTCTACAGAATTTATAATAAAGAGCACTATATATTTATTTGTAAATTATGACATCCTTTATATCAGATTTATAACAAACGTGTGAATGTGTATATACACACTTTTTTCAGAAAACTAGTTATTGAACATTTACCAATACACTGCTAGTTAGATGATCATCGTTCACCAAATAGTACCCCATATGACAGGATCCTTTTCTTCATAAGAAAAAGAAAAGTTTTTCTGAAGTCATTGTTCATTTGTATAATCACTTATCAACAGTTCTCAATCCAGTTTACAACATCTCTCCACATCAGACACCCCTAGACTTACTCGGTGATGAGAAGGAAAGTATTCAGAAAGGGCCATTTGTTACATGTAATTCAATGAAATGAATTCCTTTAAGTTTAATAACTTTAAATCAATTCTATTATCATAATTTACCATACTTCAATCGAATTCTATTTAAAAACATATGTGTATATATATATAGCTTTAATCATGAGATCATAATGGAAGCACTGCTCATTTCGCTAAGAGTTAATTAACCATAAAGTCATAGTTTTAAAAATACTTGAGAAATCAGAGTTTTATGAATTAACTTTATTTTTGGTTATAATACAAAAACAGTTCCTCTGCTACTTAATATTTAATTTTAGACCATCCTTTTTCAATTAAAAAAATGCATTTGTTATTTCTATGTGTATTTCTATACTGACTCTAGGCTTAAATAGTTAAATAGTAATACATCAAATTTTCTCAGGTACATTCAAATAAGACTGAAAAATATGGCTGTCAAGGTTAATTGATTCATATCACTCCCTCTCATCAATAAGAAAATAATCAACGTGCGGCCAGGAGTCACATTTTATTAAAGTCTCTATTCCCAGTACCTGCAAGTATGACAAACACAAAGTACGCACATAATAATGGTGTGTTAAGTAAACAAGGTAACGAATCTGCTTTATGATGACTCTGTGGACTTCAGGGAGAGAAAAACTGTAAGGGCTGAACAACCGATCACTATACAAAGTGATTGTTACTTATTGAAAAACAGTATTTTTAAGCTTAGACCCAACTTGAAACCCGTCAACAGTTTAAAAAAAAAAAAAAAGAGGAAAAGAAGATTTAATCACTCCCAGAAAATGAACTGGAACTCTTACAAGAAACAGGTGTTCATGATACATTAAAATAAGATGCTAAGCATTTTCAAATAACAGGCTATATAGCATACTGATTAAAAGCTCAGGTGTTAGGGGCGCCTGGGTGGCTCAGTCATTAAGCGCCTGACTTCGGCTCAGGTCACGGTCCCAGGGTCCTGGGATCGAGCCCCACATCAGGCTCCCTGCTCAGCGGGGAGCGTGCTTCTCCCTCTCCCACTCCCCCTGCTTGTGTTCCCTCTCTCTCTATGTCTCTATCAAATAAATAAATAAAATCTTAAAAAAAAAAAAAAGGTCAGGTGTTAAAGAATTCAACTCCTAGTTCCCCCACCTACTTGTAGGTATGACTCCGGTGCCTCAACTTCTTCATATGTAGAACAGGGAAAACAATGCTGAGGTCACAGAAATTTATAGAAATTAAATATGCCAATATATATACAAAACTTCAAAAAGGGGCTAGTAAGGTTAAGTGTACTCAAGGACGAGTAACAACTGCTCCTGCTATTATTATTAGTTGCCCCATAACACAGTTTGGGCAACACTAAACTAAAAAATCCAAAGACAGTAAGAATCTTGGGCGAGATATGTAATTTCTCTTGTCCTTTTTTTTTTAACATGTATAAAGTTAAGTGGTTGGAGTACAGCAGCAGCTTTCAAACTTTTGACCATGACACAAAATAATAAATTCATTTGAGATCATGAGCTACTATATACTAATATATAATTATATGATTAAGTTTTTATATATATGCATATAACTACATATTTTTTTTCTCAAAATAACAGTGTCCTTACTATCCCTAAGCATTCTGAATTTTCTAGTCTGTTCTCCTTTTTTTTTTTAAGCTGGTTGCAATACACAAAACTAATTTTAAAAACATAACACTGGGGACTACAATATCTCCGAGGAGCCTTCCAATACAAGGTACTCATTTTCAAATTAGCATTCAAAGGCTGGGGATATCTGTCAGTTTCACCTAAACTCCCTCAAACCCTATCACAGCCTTCAGTAAATTTTAAGGACACTAGTATTCTAATGGGCATTTCAGTGCTTACAATAATAATAACTGAACCAAGTACACTTTTCAAATTCTAATAAACTTTGCATGAGTTTGTTTTTCTAAATTGTAGTCCCTTTTGTTTCCAGAGTGACTCAGAAAACATCTTTGATCTTCAAACAACTGTAGGGTTTTGTCTTTTTTTTTTTAAATAAAGGGCTTACTTTCCAGTGACATTTGAGTACTTACATGTCAATGAAAGAATAAGATTTAGAAAATTATTTGGAACTTTTTAAGAGACAATTTGCAATCTCCAGAAAAATCTGACATTCAACAAATGCTGCCTCATTGCTTTGTTCTTTGCTTACGAATCACATTTAAAAATCAACATTTATTTAATTGTTCTGGGACTCCTTTCAAATCCAATCCATATTTTTAATCTAGTTTGGTAGGGATAACTACATAATATGAGAAAATCCTAAAATAAAGAGGAAAAAGATCTGTGACTTCACAAATTCCATTCCAAGCCCCATTTCTTACTCTCCGAACTTGGGTTAGGTACTTCAGCTCTCTACCTCAGTTTCTTCATTTATAAGATGACTACCTACTTCATGGGATTGTTCCCTGAATTACTGTCTAATCACTCTGAATGGTGCCTAGCAGGGAAGCATCCAATAAACCATGACCAAGATTATTCTCTTGTGTTATGTGAAATTAAGGTAAAGACTAAAAGTTCCCCACCTGGTTCTAGAAGTTTACCTAAAAGCTACTAGCAGAGTGAGGGTTGAACTTCAGCCCCTACTTTATGCTCTAAAATGCAAACCAAGGTTAGCTGACAAAAATGAAGAACAAGGGAGGAAACAAAGATGACACATAAGACAGAGATTTTTAAGTATCCATTCAGGTGGCTTTTTTTTTTTTTTTTTAAAGATTTTATTTATTTGACAGAGAGAGACACAGCGAGAGAGGGAACACAAGCAGGGGGAGTGGGAGAGGGAGAAGCAGGCTTCCCGCGGAGCAGGGAGCCTGATGCGGGGCTCGATCCCAGGACCCTGGGACCATGACCTGAGCCGAAGGCAGACGCTTAACGACTGAGCCACCCAGGCGCCCCAGGTGGCTTTTGATAATGGCAGAAAACCAGTTCAATTTCACCAGCAGGAATGATTAATTCATTCATTAATTAGTGCCCCCTCACGAATCCCAACAAGTATCAGAGAAGGAATCACTGTTTTATGGTATAATAGCTCTGACAAATTACAAAAAACAAGTAGAATCTATCTTTGAATCTATCTCATGAATAGAAATACTCATAAAACACCAGTTTTATTCTACCACAGATTAGATATGCACAAGGCCTGGGAAGGTGGCCTGTGCAGAGTCCTGATCTACTGGCTGAAATTATACATGGTAAAAATATTCAAACACAGCATCTAATTTTGAAGGATAACAACTTGCTATTAGTGATAAATTATATTTTCATTATAAATGTCATGGCATCAACATGAGGACATATCCTGAACCCCTAGCTAGGAAAATTTAAAACTTCTTGGTGGCAATTCAATAATAATCATCATTCACGTATGATGTCACAATGGAAATGAGAAACGCTATCACTAAAAATCTAATTGTGTCTTTTCCCTAAAATTAAGGCTAAAAGATGGGTCGGATCACCCTGGCCTGCTCCCTCCTCTGTAAGATTATCTGAAGTCCATTTTAAGGGAAGGACAGAATTTCCACCTAGTACTATGTTCATTCACCCATCAATTTCCCAGATAAAGGAAAGGTACAAAGTGAACCCCAACCAAGGAAAATTCTCTAATTAAGAGAAAAAAATCTACATCCTTCTAATAAGTCTTTCCCCTACAACGGTTTTCATTTATTGCTCATTTTAATTTAGAATACTTGTTAAAATATATTTTAAGTTTTAAACTTTATTTTGAATATTTCTTCCAAGATCCATTTTACTAAAGATCTGTGTGTATGTTTTTTTAAATATATTTCTGAGGTTATTAGCATCGCCGAATGGCCTTCAAAATGCAAGGGCGCCTGGGTGGCTCAGTTGGTTAAGCAACTGCCTTCGGCTCAGGTCATGATCCTGGAGTCCCGGGATCGAGTCCCACATCGGGCTCCCTCTGACCCTCCCCCCTCTCATGCTCTCTCTCTCTCTCATTCTCTCTCTCTCAAATAAATAAAAAAAAAAAAAAAAAAAAAAATGCAAAGACTGCTTAGGTTTTAGAATCAGACTGTTTTTTAATCTCTTCCATGTCAAAACCGGGGTACCCTGAAAAGCCAAAAGATATATATATAATAGGCACCAAAAGTCATGGGCTTCAAGGGCATTAGTTACAAAGAGAGTCTTGCCTTATCATCTCTTCCTCTTGCTCTATAATCCTTGTCTCTACTTGTAGACGGTTTTTCACTCTTGGATATAGGATGTGCGCGGCCTACAGGTCCCCGGCCTCCTATTCCTGGCATTTCTTTCCTCAGAGGTCTTACTTCTCGATTGGGACGCCTTATCTGAGGTGGAGCTCTGACAAGAAAAAATTAAAATGAAAATTAAGCAAAGGCAAAAGTATTTCAAACTACTTTAGTCAATAAAACTATTCAGTCAAGAAGCCCCAAATCTCAGTTGTTCCCTTTTGCCAATTCACGGCTACAACTATTAGGTCAGTTTCTAAAAGTGTTTTTCTTAAGGAAAAAAAAAAAAAAGTGCTTTTCTGTAAAACCTACCAGTTGACACAATTTTTAAACACAGATAAATATGTGTAACAGCAATTATTTTGTCAAAAATAATCACCAATAGAGGGCAATACAGACTATTTCCATCTAATAATAGTGTAATGGAAAGCCAATTACTTTATTCATTACTGTCCTAAGCCAAGACTAAGTAACTTAAAAAAAAAAAACAAAGCATATGAAACTAATATTAAGTGTCAATTACACTTCAATTTTTACAAAAGCATTAAAAGCTGAAAGGAGAGGATTCAAAATATGTCTATTTGCATAGTTATTAATTTATTGACAATCAAAATGATTTTCTCTGCTTCCTTACTGGAAAATCCAACATTTCAGTCATCAACTTATAAGCAGTAGGGCTAAGCTAAACAATGAAATCTTTTTATATACAAATTAATTTATGTGTGAAAATGTTATTCATGCTTTGACAGTGTCAAAAGTAATCACAGGATCATTCAAATTACATAGGCTCCCACATGTGAATTAAGAACTTCGATGACTATGTATGGTGAAGGATGTTAGCTAGACAAGTATATAACTCAGAATCCAGCAAAACAGGAAAATAAGATGAAAAGCCAGGAAGGATGCAAACTCGAGGCAACAAAGGTGAAAGACTGTTGACATACTGTAGGTCTAATAGAGCATCATCAGACTGTTGGAATTAGACCACTACATGAAACTGCTAAGGATAAGTGAAGCTGGTGAAAACTGGATATCTGTCTATTAGGTTATAACATGCTAACATCGGAATCCTTGGAGTTCAGTCCAGCTAAACAAGTATTTATTGACCACCTATTAGGAGGTATATGGCCACTAGTTTGCGAGGCCCTGGGAGGAGACAAAGATGAATAAGCAATCTTGTGAAAGAAATCACAAAAAAGGAAATCACAGAAAATAGCATATAGTACAATGGCTACAAGGCATTTTCAAATATAAAGATATTATTGTGGTATTAGTTCTAGTGCATGATTAGTCTCTTACGTATCTGCCAATAAAATAAACATGTGATGAGGCTGATTTAAAAAAAAAAACTAAAAATGTTACATGCTCTATTCCTACTATTTCATTGCAACCACTATTTTTTGACTGAACTTTTGTTCTATTTTGATGGAGTGGAAAGTAGTAGAGCAGAACTTTACTTTTATTTTTATACATTTGTGCATGCATAAATGTCTTTCCCAAATCAGACCCACGGGTAAGGGGCCAAAGACAATAAATATGAGAGCAACAATCTCCTCCACAGAGAACACGCATCAAGTTTGCCCTTCTGTTAGCAGCTGCACCAGCTATTCAAATAGTCCGTCATTGTTTGTGGGTCTGCTTTTTAGACACACAGCTGGCCTGAAGCTTTTTGCTCCCTAACAGCAAGCCCGTCCCTTCCAGCTGCATGCCAGGCTGCTCATCAGCTGCTGGGCTTGCCCCACTAGGCCTCACTGCTTAGGGCTGAATGGTAGAGAATCCTGAAACACTTCTGCCTTCTCAGCTTGTGCTTTCCCCACCTTGGCTTGCTATTTAACAGTTGCTTTGGAGTCCTGCTGTAGTCCATTTTGCACACGCATTCGGCTCAGGAAAGCTGTGCTGGGAGAAGAATTATTTCAAAGCTCTTACACAGGCTGCATTCCAAGTGCTTGCGGCTGCTGACCTTGTCCTGCCACTCAATATTCTGATAGGCTCATAAATGGTCTGAATGAAACCGCTCGGGAAGCCAGATGTGCCTGGTGGCAAGTCACATATCTCCCAGAATGTGTGCCTGTGTCTGTGAGTCTTCAGTTCCATCTCACTGCAGGTTGACATTACATTTGTAACAGACTCTGTCAGCTTCCCAAAGGACATCGTTGATTCTGCTCTGTACTTCGTCCATTAGCGCGTCACTGCACAATGTCATGCTTCAATTTAAGGACTCAGTGACAGCTTCCAAGCTGGGTAAAAAATAAGCCTCAAGGCTTCTTTTACTGGACTCTTTAGAAAGAGAGACGTCAGTAGGGTTACAAAGCATCATCAACCTCTGCCCTGATCGTCAAAGAGAAGACAACACTGTACTAGCTCCCAGTATTCCAAATGTAGAGAACTGCTGGTAGATGTGCAGACCAAAGACTGGGTGGTCTACACTGTGCTCAGTTCTCCTCTATTTCCCTCTAGGAATGGGAAGAAATAGGCCTTTTTCTATCATACGCAAATAAGCCTAATCTCCTCCAAAATCCAGAATTTCTTCTTTCTAAGCCATATTATCAATATTATATGTAAATGTTCTTATCAGCACTGCTTGTAATAGCAAACACCTGAAAACAACCCAATGTCCAGTATCAGAACAGATACATAAATTATATATTCACATAATGGATACAATATACATGTGAACATGAATTATAACTACATGCAACAACAATAGATGAATCTCAGGACCCTTATGTTGAGGGAAAAAGTTAAGTTCAAAGGACACATATAGTAAGCAATATAGGATACTGTTTGGGGACACAAATATATGTACTAAAAGTAAAGAGAAGCAAGGGAAAAATAAATCCCAAGTTCAGGACAGTGTCTTACTCTGAAAGGGGAGGATGATAGAATGCAGAGGAGCTCATAGGGGGTGTTCAAAGGTAATAGTACAGTTCTTTATCTTAAACTCTTTGGTGGGTACATAGAAACTACTGTATTGTGACTCCTTATACCTTACATAAATTTTAATTATTCACATTATCTACTCAGTAGTTAATAAAACTTTAAATGTGATTGTAATACAACAACACTAAGTAAAAGATCTGAGCACCTAAAAAGTGAAATTATAGAGTTGCTACAAAGTTTTTGGCATGTTCCAGAAATACACATGTCCTAGTGACGTGGGCTCAGAGTTCACATCCTTAGTTGACCTAGTAGATTACTGCCTGGCAAATCTCCATAAAACATCAGGCAACAGAGAGAAAACTGTCTTATGTATGTATTATAGCACCACTCTTCTGCGGTTCCAGAAGTCAAAGGGAAAAAGACCTCTTTCAAAGGGGTCCTTCATTCCACACCATATTAAGAAACAGGGTCTAAGATACTAACACAATTTTCTCCAATTGTTATACAGGCTACTTCTTAAGATTCCTATCTATTGAGCTCTATTTCTTCTAGCATTCTGTTTAATGATTACTCTAGTTTTTTTGTTCATACATTGTTAGAATTCTGGTATAAGAATAAGTAATTTAGAACAAGTCCTAGATATGCCCAAGAACATAAGCCAGATTGCTTAAAGTTAACTTCTGGAAAAGAAAGCAAAATAATCTTATTTTGCTATTACATTAATCTATTACCTATAACTCCAGAAATAAACAACGAAACATCTCTTTCCCTATCTAATAAAAAGATAAGAAACATAAGTTCCAATTAGTTCATAATGATACTTTTGCTATAAGAACTTGGAGTTAAATATATGAGACTTCTGAGTCCAAGAGAAATTGTTTGTTAAGAATCAGGAGGCAAAAAACAAAGCTTAAACAGAAATGAGAGGACCTATGATTTGAAATCAAACATTAAAGATTAAGAATTTTAATGTCCACTCTCATCAAATACATGACTGCTATTTTTTCAAATCAGTAAAGTTATTATTTACCTAATAAGTATAGGAACTGTGCTGGATGTTATATTGACATAAAAACACTGCAAACACTATTCCTACCTTCACAGAAAAACAGCATGGTGATCTGAAGTCAGCATTAGACCTAGAATCCGAAAACCTGGGTGCCTTTTTACTCCCAGGTCCACCAATTACTGATTATATAAGCCTATCACTTAACATCTATAAGCCTCACATTCTCCCTCTGTAGGTGGAGATGATAATACTTCATAAAATTTGTAAATCTATTTTTCATTGATATATGTTCAGTAAAATGTACATATATTACACAACTCAATAAATTTTAATACCATATAACAACCTGTAGATGAAGACAATAGAACATTTCCCGCCACCCCAGAAAGCTTTTTCATGGTTCCTCTTAGCCAATATCAGCCAGTGAGGTCAGCACTATTCTGACCTTATTATCATAGATTAGTATTGCCGATCTCAGTTTCTGAAAAATGGAATCCTACAGTACATACTTTGTACTTGGTTTCTTTCTTTCAACATTACCTGTGAAATTCATCCATGTTCCTGCAAGTAGCATGAGTTTATCTTTCTTCAATGTTGTGTAGTATTCTATTGTGTAAATATAACTACAATTTATCTATTCTACTGTTCATGAGCCCTTGAGCTGTTTTCCATTTGAGGGTATTATTAAAGCTTCTATGAATATGGGGATTGTGTTCATGGTAAACATAAGCATTCATTTCTTTGGAGTATGTACCCAGGAATAGAATTGCTGGATCATAGGGTGTATATATAAGATTAGCTTTAGTAAATAGAGCCAAACAATTTTCCAAAGTGGTGATGCCATTCTACACTCGCATCCACAATGTATGAGAGTACCAGTTGCTCCATCCTAGCCATTCTGGTGGGGTGTAATGGTATCTCATTGTGGCTTTACTTTGCCTTTCCTGAATGACTATGGATGTTGGGCACCTTTTCAACAATACACTTATTGGACACATAAACATGGTCTTTTGCAGAGTAACTTATTCCAGTCCTTAGTACACTTTCTTTTTCAATCAGTTGTCTGACTTTTTCTTATTGACTGTCATTCTTTATATATTCTAGATACAAGTCCTTTGTCAGATATATGCATTGCAAATATCTTCTCCTAGTATATGGCTTGCCTTTTCACTCTCTTAATGGTGTATCCCCTCATGAAGAGAAGTTCATAGTTTTAGAATTCT